TACCTCCCATGCAGTTACTCCAGCTCCTCCAACCCCCAACCCAAGCTCCTTGGCCATACTTTTCCCTCCTCCTAATTCCTAAGGATTTAGTACTTTATTATGTCCCAGCAAGAGATAATACTTCCTCCTTGGGAGAAGGAGGAAAGAATCTAACAAGATTCTAGGGCTTCCCTGGTGGCGCAGTGGTTGAGAGTCCGCCTGTCGATGCAGGGGACACGGGTTCGTGCCCCGGTCTGGGAAGATCCCACATGCCGCGGAGCGGCTGGGCCCGTGAGCCATGGCCGCTGAGCCTGCGCGTCCGGAGCCTGTGCTCCGCAACGGGAGAGGCCACGGCAATGAGAGGCCCGCGTATCGCAAAAAAAAAAAAAAAAAAGATTCTAATAAATCCAAGATGCTCTTAGGGAGGGTGCAGAAGGGGAAGCCCATGAGCACTGTTGCATTAATGACACCAATCCCATCACAGCTATGAAACCCCTGCGCTGTTCCCAGACTGGACACGAGATCCAGAAGATCAGATCTGACTAAAGTCAGGAACAGTGTTTGAAAAGCCAGGACAGGTTATAGGTATGATAAGTTAGCTGAAGAAGAACAGGCACTTATAGCAAAACTAGCTCCACACACCCGATTTCTGCCTTAGCCCGCCCGGGTCCCTCGTACTGAACACCAGCCTACACTTCTCCACTTATTACCAGCATAATCCTTGCCATTCTCCATTCAGAATCCATTCTTTCCTTTTATTGGCATAAGACAGCAACAGTCAATGTCAGAAGCCTCAGCCCAACACTTCTGCTGCCTGCAACTCATTGCTGGAAAGTCTCTTAAAGGAAGCAGAGCTTTTTACTTTGTAGATTAAAAAAGGGACTAAAATGTAAATACTCTTCTGAGTGATCTTCAGTAATACTCAAGGGAGTGGCAAATCTGATGTTCTTCTTAGAAGAGACAAAGCTGAAGCACTGGAGAAAGAAAGAATCTTGAGATAATTTTCTAAGACTTTACACTTTTTCTAGGGCTGAGTCCAGGAGGAACTCTTGATTTCTTTGCCATGTGATGGGGTATAGACCTAGTCAGGGTCACCCATGCATCCATATGTTTCCCAGAGTGGATGTTTTCATTTCCTGCCACAGATCCTAACTCAAAACTAAACTTCAACCCACAACCTTATGCCACTGTGTTCACATGCGTGCTGAGGGATGTTCTTGGAAGTTATGAGAAAATGTAATCTATGGTCCAATAAACTTGGGGATTTAATGAACTAATGTGCAATTCAAGAGTGCAATAGAAAGTACAGTATTTCCCTAATACAGCAGTTCTCAGAGTGTGGTCTGTACAACTCAGTGAACCAATATTTTCCAAATAATCAATGCATGATGTTACAGAATCATTCATGCTTAAAAGCTTCATTAAAGCACAAGACAGACTAATGGATTTTAATATAACAAAGTGCAAAGAGTGCTTTGACATGGTTTCACATGTCATATTGCCACAAACCTTTAAGAAACTACCATTTGTCAAGTTTTGGTATAGTATTAAAGAAAAATATCCACAATTTTCTAAAAAGGTTATAAAATATTTCTCCTTTTTCCTACTACAAATCTGTGTGAGGCCAAATTTTCTTCATATGCTCAACCAAAACAACACATCACAAAAGAATGAGTGGAGAAGCAGCTGAGAATTAATAGTTGACTATTGATCCAGACGTGAAAGAGATTTGCAAAAAACCAAACAAACAAAAAGTAAAACTATGCCACTCTTATCACTAAATTTTTGGGAAAATACAATTATTTTTCACAAAAAAATATTGTTTAGGCTTACATTTATGGGGCTTATTTTGTTTTTCAATAAATTAAAACCTTTATGATTTTTCAGTTTTAATTTCTAATATAAAAGTATTAATAGATAAAACCCACATTAAACTCTTTGGGATACTCGATAATTTTTTAGAGTGAAAAGGGTCTTCAGATCAAAAAGTTTGAGATGCTTCCCTAATATATTTTGATCATGGAAGCCTTTCTGTGTGGAACACCTCAAGCATATTCTATGGAACGTACAATGGGAAACAGAATCTCATGTTGTGCTTTTAAAACTATTCCTGGGGGCTTCCCTGGTGGCACGGTGGTTGGGAATCCGCCTGTCGATGCAGGAGACACGCGTTCGTGCCCCGGTCCGGGAGGATCCCACATGCCGCGAAGCGGCTGGGCCCGTGGGCCGTAGCCGCTGGGCCTGCGCGTCCGGAGCCTGTGCTCCGCAGCGGGAGAGGCCACGGCAGTGAGAGGCCCGCGTACCGCAAAAAAAAAAAACTATTCCTTTTCGTGTCTCTTCTCCCTAGACCTTCTTCAATAAGTTAATTTCTATGCTGCTCAAAGGGTTGCCTCTCACACAGTAGTTTTGTGCTTATGACCCTGGCAGTAAATGCATATATCTTTTCTGGCAAATACAGGTGGATACTGACTTCATTTATTTAGAAGAGGCCATAATCTACAGAATTATTTCACTGCGCAAATGCTACAAATAGGAGAAATGATGACATAGGTTAACATGCTCCTACAGCAGATAATCTGCTATGAGATACCGTGCCAGGATGTCCCAAGAACATAAAGGATATCATGTCAGCTAGAATCGCGGCCAATTTGGTTTACCATTCAGTTTCCGGCAACAGGAGAATCACTGACTGAGATGCTTATGTTACAAATTACTCTTTTATAAAACCAGCAGGATGACAGTAATTTATTACTCTGAGTACTGGCAATTTGCTTGTAAAAATTGTAAGCAAGCCAAAAATAACTTAAGAACAGATTCACATTTCTACCGTGGCTTTTTAGAACACAGAGTAAGGCCAGTTCTTTACTTTCAGCACGACTTGAAGCCCGAGTTCCAGAATTTAGTTATAAATCTCTCCTCCTGTCAGGTAGCTGAATAACTGGCTAGAAGCCTGTTCTCAGATGGCTATAAAAGATTTTGGGAAAGAGTCAAAAGTGTAGAGTGTTGAACAACTATTCCATGCAAAAACTCCCTCCAAGGAAACTCAGTCCTTATAGAGAGCTGGCACAGAGTACAGGCTGTTCAGTCCTCTAATTTTCATTCTGGAATTTACCCAAATAAGAGCAACCATTAAATTTACTTATGCAGTTTTTTAAGTGTCTAGTTTATAAAAATGTTGCTCAAGGATGACCAGGATCTCATCCTGAGAGCTGAAGACGCTCATCTTGGTCTCTTTTTCTTTTTACTTAAGACTAGAAGTGAAATTAGCATGTAATCTGCTTGTGGTAAAACTTTCTTTAGTGAAAAATTTTTATAGCCATAAATGCTTACTAGTTTTAGGTTCCATTCTAGTTCATTTAGTCCTCCCAGCAACTCTACGAGATAGAGACTATAATTATCCCCATTTTACAGATAAGGAAAGAGGCTCCATGTTGCCTGAGGCTACCTAGTTTACAGGTGGCAGATAGGACTAGAATCCCGGAAGTTAGTCCCTCTGAACCGGGACGCTGTCCCACCTGAGATGCATGATCAATAAATCGAATGCTTTTTATTAAGAAGATATCCTATTCTGTGCATAAAATAGTGGTTTTTAGCTCCAGATGAGCCATTATTTCAAAAAGCCTTCCTTACACTCCAGTGCGTTAAGCCCCATTCTCTGTCTTCCCATCACGCCCTGTCCACAGACCATGTGGTATTTACCTGCTGCCGCTTCTGTCTCCCTTCTAGCCTGTACTGCATCCTCCCACCCAGTACCTGGAGCAACAATCTGAATGAGTGACAGAACCACAGAAAGAACAAACAAAAGTGAGTCTCCACAAATCCACTTAGTCACGAAGAACATTCATTTCCAAATGAGGTTCGTGCATCATGGAGGGTATACAAAAAAAAAACCCAGTGGGGTGCAGGGAGAAAACATTAGCATTTCTCTTTCTATTCACTGACATTTACCACAAGGATTGGCATTAGCATCCTCAGAGTCTGCTCCAGTGCGTGGGGCAGACAGCCACACAGGCCGACGAGGCACTCAAGGCCTAGCATGGGCATTCCTCAGCTTGTGGGGTTAGCAGCAAGGCCCTCACCTGCTTGCTTGCTTTCTGTAGCCAGTTTACGTGGGCCGAACTGAGAAAGTGACTGTCGGGATTATATTTTCAATTGTATCTAAAGTGACCCTCACAAAACGGCCAGGTGGCTTTGAATGAGTCCTGCACAGAACTGCAAAAAAATGCTAGCAACAATACAAGCACAAATAAATGGGAGAATAGTAGAGCTGGTGATATTGTTTTTTACCATTTGTCATATATCTTTCTCACCCGTATCATAAGATATAACAACAAGCTGGTCAGATCGGACTTGAAGTTAGCCAAAAAAACCCAAAAAAACAAAAAACCTGAAAGTATCAAAACTTAGATTCATATCCACTATTTTTTACCAATGGTCTCTGCCTAAGTGAATATGATACCTTGGGAAACTGCCTAATAATACTCTTATACAGCTTCTAAATAAATATATTTTTGTTAACAAGATCAAAAATGTGGAGCTCACTGATCTAGAACTTTGCTACTCCAAGTGCAATCTTCAAAGGAGCAGCGCCCGCGTCACCTGGAGGCTTGTTAGAAATGCAGACTCTCAAGGTCCGTCCCAGACCTACTGAATCAGATTTTGCATTTTAACAAGATCCCCAGGTCCTTCACAGGCACATCTCTGTTTGCGAAGCACTGCTTTAGAACACACATCTTAAATGATCTGAATCCTAATAGTTCAGCTCTTATGTATACACTTAGAAAGATTTCTCTGTTGAATTTTTGAACTCATAAACTTCTCATTTTAATATCTATTGTCAAATGTTCTTCAAGGCTATAAAGAACCTATCCCCATGAACCGAAAATCCCGTGAAATAATCTATGTATAACTACAGCATTAACTCCTTATTAATTCCAGTATCTTAAAATAAACGTTCTGATCCTGTACAACAAAAACTATCCAGCCACACCTTCATCTTTTTGATCCCCACCTCCACTTACTTTTGTTTGACCATCGGCTTTGAACACATAGCAGATACTCTGCTGATTGGCTTCATCGTCTTTAATCAAACAAGCAAAATAACTTGGGTCGTGACTGTTATGAATCAGTTTGTGAACTCGCTGAGGCTGACACTCGAAGATGCTGGAACAGATCAGTGGATCCCATTGTTGACTTTTTCCTGGCTCAGGCTCACATCTCAGTCCGGAGGGCGAAATGCAAAGGTGGACTTGCTTGGTACCAGACTCCTTTGTGGCGGACTGCCGGCTGAGCCTTCGCACCTCTGCCACGACCCAAGACAGCATGGGCATGGTGGTCAGAGAATGCACGGGTAAGAAGCCTACCAGCTGGAGGCTAAATTCCACCGAGACCTCGCTAGGAAACGGATGTTTCCTTGCTGTGAAGGTTATTGGTTCCATGTTGGGAAAGGTCTGGAAACTCAGCAAAACATTGCCACTGTTTTCTATTTTAGACCAAACAATCTATTTTACATGCTTCTGATGCAGAATCCTGCAGGAGAAAAACAGAGGCATTAGAATTTAATGAAGTCGCAGCATTTCAGAGCTTAAGAGGCTGAAACCCAAATAGAGGAAGAAATAGATATTAGTTCACATACGCTGCTCTGCCTAGAAAGAACTTTCTTGAAATCGTATTACATATAAAACCTGAAAATGCCGTAACTGTCACACTCACTACGGGTTACAAAGATCCCACCGGGGAGACTCCGGTTAAACATAAGCCTCATAGAGCCAACAAAGGCCAGCACCATAGAAAACAATATAGTGCTGTTTGGACGGCTTTAAACCCTGCTGCATTATTTAACATACTTTCAAGGAATTTTTTAAGATGATCAAATTCAGTACTGGTGGCTTCCCCCAAGAAAGTAATCTTGCAAGAAAAATATATCAGCTCTCTATCATCACAGTCTATTGAACCAGTCCAGTTTTCAACAACTGACCTTATCACTTATGATATC